CATTGATTCCTAACGAGCCTTGATGCTCCTCAGGTGTAAAAACTAACTAGGGCTACAACGATTATTTTGCAAATTGATTAATCTGTTGATTATTTCGATTAAACAATAATCAAACAACCAATGATTCCTTAAAGAATAATTTTTACAGAAATAAAGATGTGAAAATAAACCTTTTCCACTTGGAGTCCTGGTTAGAGCGTATTGACGGATGAAAACATTTTTCAAAGTCTTTAATACAAAATGTATATATTTGTTTACTATTTTGATATAATTTCTGCTCCAAGTGGGTTAATTTGTCAGCTAAAGGCATATTTTACAGCCTCTACATTATAACGATTAATTGATTACTAAATTAATTGATGATCATTTCCATAATCAATTGATCACAATAAATTCGATTAATTGTTTCAGCCTTACTTACAATAACTTGGTGTTCAGCTGCACCAACTCGGTATTAAGAAAACTGTTTGACATGATTAGCTGTAAAATAAGCCAGCATTAGTCTGAATCCTTGTCTAAAGGTCCCTTTAAATAAAGGTAATGGTGAACATTTTCCTTCTACTTTTCCACGAGAAGAACTTCATTTTTTGGCCAAGTAATTTCTTGATGCTAATGATTCATATCTTTAAAAGAAATGAAACGTAATAATTAGCTTTACTTTCATTGTTACAGGATATGAGCATTTATTGGACTGGACTGGAAGACGGTATTAAGCCTGTTTGGGAGAATGTTTGGATTTCCACAGAAACCTTTGATACTGGAAAATTCTGGGGAAAACGTTAGATTAATTTGAAATGTTGCTATTTATAAATTCTTCATATGCTGAAGAAAATCTGACTTTGATTTTTTTAGGATTGATGAGGTTGACTAAACATTTTAAGGACATTATAATATGAATAAATAAATAAAATGAATGAATTAATAATAATTAAATTAAGGAAGACAAAAAGTTAATTATCTTTTTTTTCTCCTAGATAATGTTTATATTTTCTCATTGTTTTCAGATTCATTGTTGCACATTTAGACGTGTAGATTTGGCTAAGCTGATTCTAAGCCGAATTTCTTGTTCCAATTATAGGATATGACATAAAGTTTAGGCCTAAGTTATTCATACTTTAATTCATCTTTTAATTTAACCATCATCTTACCTCTGACTGGAAGTAATGTTGAAGTTCTGGCGCGGTCCACTCAAAGTCCAGACCT